CTCAGGCTAACTCAAAGGAGCATAAAAGGATATACAAAGATTTGTATCTTAATTTTGATCGATCAGTTTGCATGACAACTATATCCTTTAGTCGTCCAATCTGAACAATATATTCGGAGATTGTAGCGTCGCCTTGGACAAATTTGGTGCAATTATATTTTCWAAAACTGTTTTCCATACAAAAACTTGATTTTAATCGGCCAATTTGTATAGAAGCTATACCCTATAGTGCTACGATAGATCAAACAATTTGTATGGCAACTATGTAACTATATCCGATAATGGTCCGATACAAGTGTTGAGTGTTGAATTGAGCTTTATAAAATATTTTACGAAACTAGCTCTAGTGGAATCTTGTCTACTCTGTTAATAACTATTTTTTTTTTTGTTTGATTTATTTTGTTTTCAAAAAATATAACATTGAAGGTATGGGGTTTCAAACCCTTTTATGGTTCACTGATGTTTCGAAATTGATGCAAGGTACTGTCACACACATTGAATTTTTATATAAAAATCATTATCTTTGGTAAAGGAATCAAAGATTAACCTAATTGCATAAAGCTGATTTATCCAGAGTATTCCTCAGATGAAAAAAACATTAACCAACGCAACTAAAAAACGTCAAAAACCGACGGCTACTTAAAAAAACATCGATTTTTACATACATTTTTTTAATTGATTTTTTTTTTTCGAATATTGCAAATTAGAAAGTTTCAAATGGTYCATATGATAGAGGTAGGTAGGGATAAGTGCCGTAACTAGGGGCTCAACTAGCGCTGGTTACGCCATTTTGATGCGCTGTCGTAAGATCGTATAGCCTTGCTATTTCTTGCGCTCGAACCATTAGGTGATCTCAATGAAACTACATACTTATGTATGTCCATTATGTTTTTTGTGGACAACTATTCAATTTTTGGTGTCTGTTGTGTTCAAAATAGTTTGCGTCGGATTTGTAATCAAACTGAGTATTCGCATAGAAAGTGGAAAACGTTTTCCGTATTGCCTTCTTGCCTGCAGCTGCGCAACTACTGTTATAAGACAGTCACATTTTTAGCGCAGGACCAGTGTCCCGTGATTGTAGTTTGTATATGCGATTTCTGGACCGAGATAGTAGGTAATTTTTTCCATTTCCTCCATATTTGATTTATTATCTTGCAACTTGCTGTTGTTTTCTATCTCTTCTGTGCGATTTGTTCAAAATGCTTATACCGCTCCATTTTGATCGTTCCTAACGAACATAGTACTGGTTCGTCCGCTTGGAAGCTGTTTTGTAGGCGGATAGAAATAGAGGATTAGATATCAATGGACTTTACTCTCAGCCCACACATGCACGCTCTATCTCTTCTCCATTCGCGTCTAGAGAAAATCCTCACCTCAAATGACGGCCGTATACACCCACATGACTATTTGGTTTAAGATCTAATTTCCTGTTAAGCGATATACTCTTTATTAATTCGCTTTTCAATGGTAATCTTCCAGTTCAGTTTGGTAGCAATTTTGATCCCTAGGTATTTTGTGGTGAGTGATAGATGAGTTTTTGTACCACTGATCATGGGAAAATTGAATTGCGGTATTTTCGTGTTACTCGTGAAGACCATCAGGTATTTTTTTATTGGAGTTATCACCTAGTCCGTTATTCCATTTATCACTGATTGTGGAAGGAAACATCCCTGTTGCTAACAACACTATGTCGCCTGCTTATTCTATTGCGTTTACTCCTCCTTAATTGAGTTGAAGTAGCATTTCGTTCAGCGTCAGCAATCATAACATTTTGGAAAGAACGCCTCCTTGAGTGGTGCATCTGCTTTTACATATACTTAGCTGAGCCATTTCATGCTATATTCCTTCTGTTTATAAGCATCGATCGTTTCCATTTGCACACGAGGTCGTCTATGCTGCCATGTGTCAAGGAGTCAATAATAGTGGTTATTTCTATATTGTTGAAAGCCCCTTCTAGGTGTAGTCACTTTTAAATTGCATTAATCACTTCGTGTAGAGCAGTTTCGGTTTACCGACCCTTCCTGTATATATATTGTGTATTCGATAAGGTATCTCCCAGCATTGATCTTAGGTGTATATTTATTAGCCTTTCTAAAATCTTCAGTATGAAGGAGGTGAAGCTTATAGCTCTGAAGTGTTTTGCGTTATCGTGTGTTCTTCTACTCGATTTTGKTTGGAACACCACTTTGACTCTTTTCCAGCTTCTCGGTATGTACGATAGTTGGATGCTGGTCTTATATATTTTTTTCAGCTTTGGAAACATTGATTCCTTTAGCTTCTGCACCATTATGGGAATAATAACATTCGGGTCACAGGCTTTAAATGACAAAAAACTGTTTAAAGTATATTTAATATTTTTCTTGCTTACTATGTGTTCGGATTGGCCTGTTGTATTCGCAAACAGTTCCAGTTGGACATCTATTGYGGTTTGCTGTTTGCCAAGAAAGTGCATTTGCATGAATTCCTCTAGGTACTCTCGGACGGAGGAAGTTCACGCATGGCTTTTACTTTTTAAACAAGATTTATTCACATGTTCCTTGGACAAAATCTTACTCAATCTGGCGGTTCGTCTGCAGCTTTCTATTAATGTGCAGAARGATTGCYARGAATCTGCTTTTGCTTTCCTWACTGATTTTTTGTATTGCTTCAGATGTCTTTATAAGTTTGCCATATTTTGGTCCATAACATTCATTTCAGGCTTTTTAAGTGGATTCATAGTTTTCTAAAGTCGGCGCTACACCAGTGAGGCGTTTTCCTCTTTTTGAGAACTGTTAATGGTATAGATTGTTTGAAAGAGTGTTTAAGACTTTTTCTTACTCTTCTTCTTTCTTTCTTTTTCATTTTTTGCAAAATAMATTTATGCTTTGGGGCGCTGATCAACGCATTGTAATGACCGTGGAGTTTAGTCTTTATAGACAGGTATTCACGTAAAAACACATTGACATTCTTCTACCTCTTTATTCAATTCTTGCACAATGCTGATTATATTCTGATGATGTGATAGAGAGTTATTTAAAAATATACCTTAAGTAAATAGAACTTGAGATATTCTGAGGAGCGCATTGAAAAACGAGTTTCGAGAAAAGGGCGTTTAAAATTTCGTCGCCCACCAAACTGGTCCATTTGGCCCGACGGTAATAGTTTCAAATTTTTTAGTATCTCATTTATCAAAATATGAAAAAGTTCGATTTTTTTCGAGAAAARATTAAGAAATATTTATATCCTGAACAGGGTTTGTCACGAAGTTTGTAATACCAAGTGGGAAACTTCGCAGACCCTTTTGAATACATATACCTACTTATATAMATGATCAGCATGACGAGTTGAGTCGATTCACGATTTTCGTATGTTTGTATATACGCGAACTAGTCCTACAGTTTTAGGCAACTGAGCTAAAATTTTGCACATGTCGTTTTCTCCCCAATAACAAGAATTCTTGCCATTAAATATATATACTTTAACAGTTAATATCTTTTAATTGGTTGGGTTTACGAAAAAATCGTAAGCGACCATTTTGTAAAGCATTCAAATTYCTATCAAATCTATGAATCATTTCATTAGAAGCGATATATGAATTTTTCTATCTGATAATTAGAAAAAATAGAAAATCGTTAGGCGTAGGACTTTCTCCTTTTAATTAACAGCTCATACCAGAAAAAAAAATATTAGGTGCTATGCAAACTGACCGCAGAGTATCTTTTGAGTTATGTAGTTCTTCGAATAATAGTCTTTCAGTCAATGAAATCGGCGACTGCAGCATATTGAAAMCTCTAAAAAGTTGCAACAACATGCCGTGATTGACTTCGTCGCTTCAAGGATGGCAATTTCGATATTAACGACCGTCCTCGTGAAAGAAGGTCAAAACCCTTTAAATACGGTCTGATTAATTTTTTCGTACGATTATTATTTATTCCGTTCGTTGGCACATGGTCTGGCTAAGAAGGGGTTCCACTCAAAAGACGGCATCGGAAAATGGCTTGATTTTTGAATAGCATCACAAGATGTATAGTTTTAATGTAATGGCATTAGAGCTTTGCCAGAAAGATGGGAAAAAGTKGTGACTAGCGTTAGGCAAAACTTTAAATAATTCCTTTGTAACCATCCGTTGCATTTTCATTCATTGTGACAAAAAAGCACCCGRAAATTGTAATTAATTCTCGGTGTAAATGATATTTCTAAAAACTGTATTTTGCTAAGTTAGCTAACTATGCCAAATAAGAGCGCGATTTGTCAACCAGTTTTSGATTAAAGAATTTGTCTAAAATTTTGTATTTCCAACCAAATTTCGTGTGCGAAAGCATTGCGAATGTTGGAAAAAGCTTACGGTGATTAATTTTTATCAAAAACAAAAGCGTACGAGTTGTACAAAGCCTTCAAAGACGGTCGAGAGATCGTTGAAGACCTGCCTCGTTCTGGATGACTTTCGACCTTTTCAACTGATGAAAATATTAAAAAAGTAAGGGATATGGTGCTTGAAAATCGTCAGGCAAGTGTTAGACAGACAAGTGCAAGAGAACTCGGCAAGTGCAAGAGAACTCGGTATCTTTCGCGAGTCAGTTAGAATGATTGAGGTGGATATTTTGGATATGAAACGCGTTCTTACTCGACTCGTCCCGATAAAATTCAATATTTTTCAAAACGGGTACCATAAACAGGTCTCTTTAGACCTGCTTGATCGTGCGAATTCCGATCCCACATTCATGTAAAGCATTGTAACTGCGAAGGCGTGTGAGCGTGAACATCCGCCGAAAATGGCCGGTATTATGGAAGTGCAATTCATGGATTTTGTATGATGATAATGCACCACCGCATCGAGCCACGATTTCGACCGTATTTAAGGCCAAAAACTCAATGAATATCATCGATCGACCAACGTGCCAATCCGATTAAAGCCATTTGAATAAGCGCACATGCTTTGTCACACGCAAGTGTAATATGTACGATTTTGTATATATGTACGTGCAAAAACCAAACACCAATTTATATGAAAGTGMACTCACTGTTGTCCACCGCCGGCTGCTACTAGATCCCAAAACGTGCCAATTAATGGCAATCCTTTCGGCCTTGGCAACTTCTGCAAATCCTCTGCCGACGACTTCTCAACTTTCGCCTTCCACGGCCAAGCCCCCGTGCTGGGTGGTGGCGGTGCCAATGGCTGCGCTGCCGGCGCCGCTGTTGCTGCCATTTCGTTCGACTTCGCGGTCGCTGTGATCGAGATGGTTGCCGCTGCTGTTGATGGCGTTAAGTATTCACCTTCGCCCAGGTGACATTTATGCGTTCTACCGCATATTACCAACAGACGCAGCCAGAAGGCGCGTAAAGCATTTAGCACCGCCGATGGCAACAAATTCAGCATTACGACGATGCGCACGCTTGTATCGTATTCAAGTGGCAATTGCAAGTTTTTTCACAAGCCCCTAACTCAGCACTGTGCTCGCTGCTTGYTGCTGGTCTGGCGCAAGGCTGGCTATATGACCACCAAACGTGCCGCGATATTCTGCTGTTGGCGCGCTCTGTTGCTGTTGATGATGCCTATGTGCGTTGTATGACTCTATGGCCTTTTCGTTTACTGCAAATGCTGTTTCGGCAAAAACTTAATTTTTTAGCCAATTTTTTTTTTCTTCGTTTTTTTTTTTTTTTTTTTTTTTTTTTTTTTTTTTTTTTTTTTTYTTTTTTTTTTTTTTTTTTTTTTTTTTTTTTTTTTTGTAATTTACGGCCTATTACTTATTCCCTTGCTGTTTCGCTTGCGTTGTGTGTAGAATTTTGCCGGTTGGTATTCACGTATGATTATTAAAGAAAAAAATGTTCGCGAAAAAAATTATAACGCGTAATCGTCAATTTTGGGCGCGAGCATAAAATTGCGTTGGTTAGTGGAAATGAAATATTTCGGCTGCTTATGCAGTAGGTGAGGGCTCCTTTGGATTTCTTAGAGCATGACGTTGAAGTTTAAAACAATTTATACAAAAATCACAAGCAATTCAAAAAGRTTCTAAAACACTTAACACCAAACAAAGTAACGCACACAATTTGTAATTAATTGCACGTAAAAAGCATGTACAAAATTGTATTTAAACMAAGCACAAATATWTTTTAAAACTTTTTCCTTTTTGTTKAGTTTTTTAAAATACTTTYAAATTTTTTACTTTMAATTAATTTTTTTTTTTCACTTTTWTGTTTACTTAATTCCTTTTTAAAACAATAGCTGCCGCCACGCCGGCTTTATAATGTGTCTTATACTCTGCGCGCGTCCGACTGTTTGGTACTTGCTTTGTGCTTCTGTGTGCTACCTTTACTAGCGGCGCTCACTTAATGATTATAGGTGAGAGCATAAGTTCTTGACGCGTTCACCGTTCGTGGTTATCTGAAACCGATCGAGCAGCTGTGTCGCATGTTAAAGGCGAAGGCGAAGCCAAAATCCAAGCCAAAGCCAAAGCTAAACCGAAATGAAACGCAGCCGACGTCGTCGCAGCAGCAGCAGCAAGCAATGAAAATCACGAAAACCAAGTCGAATCCGAAACCCAAACTCGGTGTCCATTTCACACAGCTGTGCGGTGCGTAAAGCGAGGAAATTTCACTGCTAGCGCGACGTAACAATAAAAAAAAGAGAGTATGAAAAAAATCGCTGCATAAAAAAGCGGATAAAACCTTTAATTATGCATGCATACCAAAACATACACACAACTAGCAATAAATATACTGAATCCCTRCCAACCATGAGCGGSTAAAAAACCAGTGAAACATTAGGTAGTAAAGTGGGTAAAACTGTGGGCAGATTGCCATCGGCCGCGCGAAGATTCTATCCTTTCCTCTCACATACATCTCTGTTGCGCTCATTTAGCAGTGTCATATAAAAAAGTTTATCTGTCCT